AAGATTGAGGCAGGAGGATCTCCTGAACCCAAGAGTTTGAGGTTACAGGTGAGCTGTGATCACACCACTGAACTCCAGCCTGGGTGACAAAGTGAGACCATGTCTCTAAATTGTGGAACACTAGCTCAAGTGCTGGGAAAGAAAGAAACTATATTACAGAAGAGAGATTTAGTGTTTCTATATTTTAGAATCCTGAGCTGGCACCATGGGTAGACATCAGAGAAGTGTTCACCCCAAAGTAAGGAAGTACTTCATAAACGATTACAGTTGACCACAGGGAAGCAAGCCAAATTGTGTGGTAGTTTCAGTTCCCCATGACTATGGAATTTTATCAGTGTTAAAGTAGAGTCTGGGTTATCACCGATCATAGTTAAATAATAGCAGTTTGGTAGTCAAACGTTGTTCAAACAGTGGATTCCTTTCTTGAAGCAAAAATTTTATGTAGAACCCCGATCTTTAAACAGACAGGAGCAGCATCACCTGTTCTGCACCTGTCATTCAGCTTCTTCCTGATATCTTTTTTAACTCACGAAGCTATCTCTCCAATTATTGAAAATCACTGTTAAAAAAGGACTTAGCTTTTTTTTACATAGCTCATGTAGCTTTTAGAATACCTTGGCAGTAAACAAGGCAAGCTTTAGTATATCTGTCTGTGCCTGCCTGTCTCATGGATACTGGAACTGGCCGTCACACCTGCGATAGACAGGCAGCAGGAGTGGGGATCACACCCTCCCTCCCGTGCTAGTGTTACATGCTTATAAAAACTCAAGTCTCATGAATTTCTGCCCTTCACTTTATGCTGATTTCCAAGGAAGCTTTAAATAGAGCACAGGACCACAAAGAATGCTTGAAGACATAGGTACTGTGGATGGTCCGAATTTTGTGTCAGCCACTTCTGGAATTTGTAGAATGCAGCCATCTACTATTTTGACAAGGAAGGGACTTGGCAGCCAGCATGTGTGGTTAAACCAAAGATGAGCTCACTTAGGTAGTGCAGAGATAACAACAGCTTTCTTGATCTTATTTTAACCTTAAAGAGACTTGCTATATTAAACCTTATCTGGGTTAGGAAGGGTTTTAGAAGAGTTCATGTTTTCTTTCTTTTTTTTTTTTTTCAGACAGAGTCTCATTCTGTCACCCTTGGTAGAGTGCCATCTACAGCTCACAGCAACCTCCAGCCCTTGGGCTTAGGTGATTCTCTTGCCTCAGCCTCCCAATTAGCTGGGACTACAGGTGCCCACCACAACACCAGGCTATTTTTTTTGTTGCAATTTGGCCGGGGCCGGGTTTGAACCCACCACCCTCTATATATGGGGCCGGCACCCTACTCACTGAGCCACAGGCACTGCCCCCATGATTTTCTTATATTACTTGCAACTGCTTTTTGATCTTTACTCAGCTGAAATTAATTAATTGACTTTCCTTAGAATCCTACCACTATAAAGAACAGTAAATTTTCAAATCAAGTTATGTCCCTTAGAATAAAAGGAATAGGATTAGTTTGTAAGTTTCTTAGATTTAATATTTTTTAAAAAATCAATCAAGATGCTTAAAGAAGTTCTAAAACAATAGTAGAGCCAGAAAATGTCCATTAAATGACAAACTGTGAAATGGACAGAACCTCCCCTTTGCTGATCAAATTATACTTGGCCTTTTAATCCTTTATGTTTTTTTCCTATAATGTACCTCTCCTTCTGACAGGTAGATGCAGTCATATAATTTGGTATAGACATAACAAATGGGGTCAGAATGTTTTGATTCTGCTTGTATTTGTTACTAGTTAATAGCATATTTTAGAATTTTGATCAATCATTGAATTTATGGTTTTTGATAATGCAGTAGAACCTCCAGAGTTGACCACCTCCCTACATCGAGCAACTCCTTCAGCTGACCTGATCTTCATAGACCAGCCAAGCATTGCACTTTCATATACGTACAGTAGGCCTAGGTCCTTATGTTGATGAGTTTGTTATAGTCCCTCCCTTGTGCAGTCAGCTTACAGAGGTTCTACTATATATTCTTTGAAATTTTGAAACAAACACTTTGCACTAAATGTCTAAGATAAAGTGTGCTGATATTTAACTCTTTATATGAAGAAAGAGACTTAATAAAGCCTTCTTTGAGTAGTGTATTGGTACTTACTGTTTAATATTGCCTGACAATTTTCCTCTTTAATGTAGCATGATTTTTCTCTTGTTTCTAGCCCTGAATCTCTGAGAAATGACAATGGGCTTGAATTAAATCCCCCATTGTCAGAGTCTGAGAAAAGCAAAAAGATTTCTCTTCTTCATTCAAGCAAAGAAAAACTGAGAAGGTGAATTTTAATACAGCCATTTTAAAAATTTATTCCTTTGTATGAAGAAATTACTTCCATAGATTTTATAATTTTTTTGTAATATTGATAAAAAACCTAAATGAAACTAGTAAATCTCACAGCCAAATAGATAGCACTCATTCATTCAGTCATTAGTTAATCAACAAACATCTCTGAGTCTGACTTGGTACCAAAGTATGATTGGAAAATCGAGATAAAAAAAAAAAATCCCTGCCTTCAAAGGTGTTCTTAGTCTAGTGCTTAAGCAGACTTTTAAGTAAGCTATTAAATAGAAAATTATGTTGTGATATATGTCATGATGAAAACTCAAAGTAAGGACACTGGGAATGGCATCGGGGCAGGCTCTTTTGAGAAGGCAGTAGCTGAATTGAGCTTTCAAAAGGAAGTTGCTGTTAATTTGGTTTATAAATCAGGAAAGAACATTTTATATGGAGGGAGTAATAGGCATAGAGGTGAACAGTATCAGAGTTGTCAGGACAAAGTTGGGAAGACAGAATTGCAGAGACTAGTAGGTGAAGACCGTGGGATTCAAATGACAGGCTGTTGGGGAACCTGAAGAATTTTAGCAAAAGAGTGACCTGATGAGATGTAAACCTTAAGAAGAAGCACTCTAGCAGGATGTAAGACAAGGACCTCCCCTTTTATTTTTAGAGATTTGTTTGGGAGACACCAGAATGTAAACAAGCCATCTCTAATTAGTTTTTTGGCTTTCCCTCTTCTCAACCCTTGTACTTATACCCGTGAACCTGAAAAGGGTTGCTTCCAGATTATTTCCTGTCTTCCTCCTCCTCCCCATCATCTGCTTTACATATGTTTGTGGGTCTTGTTTTGTTTAAGCCACACAGGGTAATATGCTGTTTGCTAACGTTAAGGACGTGGTAGTTCTGGCTGATAGATTTGAATATTTGCATTTGGGAATTTTTTTTTCTTTATAACAACTCCAATATCCCTTTTCATTATTAGAACAGATTAATAAACATTAGCTAAGTAATTTTTATATTCTTGATAAAATACCTTCCATTATATACTTTAAAATGCATAAGGATGTTTGTATGTTGTATGTTGTACTTTTCCAGGTAGTACATCCTTTTCTTGGGTGCCCCTGAGACTGACATGATAGTTTAATAATTTTCAGGGTATTTGCTTACTTGAAAAGAAGGGATAGTCTCCCACAGATGAAGGCTTTTTCAGGACTGGGCAAGTCTCAGAAATTCAAAAAAAGTGGAACAGGAGATTCTCAGAAGGGCCCAAGTTATATCTGGCATAGAGACCTTTCCCTCTTGAGTCCTTGTTTGCTTGAGATTCATTTATACAGAGGAGACACCCAAGTGGACATTCTTGCCTTGTTCTAACCTTAGAACGTGTTCCCATTACTTATGATGTAAGCTGTAGGTTTTTGTCCGTGCCTTTCATAAGCTTAAAAAAAAGGTCTCTTCTAGTCCTAATTCAGATTTTCATCATAAATGGATATAAAATTCTGTCAATTTTTTTTATCTATTGAGATGATTATTTAATTTTTTCCTCTTTTCTATTAATGTAGTAATTGCATTGATTTCTTAAAATGCTAAACTCTACTTTGTCTTGATGCATTGTCTTTTTTAGTTTTTGCTGGATTAGATTTGCTAATATTTTATTAACAATTTTTGCATGTGTGTTTATGAAGGCTCTTAGGCTATAGTCATCTTAAATCACAGATTTCTATATCAGGAAAATGCTGATCTCATAAAATGAAATGGAAAGTCTTGTATTCTGTTTTCTGAAACAATTTGTGTAGGAATGATAAATTTCATAGACTTCAACAGTGAAGTCATTTAGGTTTGGAGTTTTCTTTGTGGGAAGGTTTTAATTACAAACACAATTTCTTTAATGATTATGAAACTCAATATTTTTTTCCTGTGTCAGTTTGAGGTAATTTATGTTTTTAAAGAAATGTGTTCATTTCATCTAAGTTGTTAAATTTATCAGACAACTTTATAGTGCTCTTTCATCATCATTCCAATTCTTTAGGCCTTTAGTGATGGGTTCCTTTCTTCTTGGTACTGATAATTTGTGTTTTCTCTCTGTTTTTCTTACTCATTCTGGCAAAAGGTATAAATTTTACTGGTTTAGATTCACAGATTTTCTCTATTGTTTGTCCATTTTATTTTATTTTATTATTTTTTTGAGACCAACTAACTTAGTCGCCCTGGGGTTGAGTGCCATGGCATCATAGCACACAGCAACCTTAAACTCCTGTGTTAGAGCAGTCCTCTTGCATCAGCCTTCTAGTAGCTGGGACTGCAGACACCCAGCACTACGTTTGGCTAGTTTTTCCATTTTTAGTAGATGGGGGTCTCATTCTTGCTCAGGTTGGTCTTGAACTTCTGAGTTTGGGCAATCTACCTGCAGCACCCTAACAGAGTACTAGGATTACAGGCATGAGCCACTGTGCTAGGCCTGTTTGTCCATTTATATTTCATTGATTTCTGTTCTCTCTCATTTTCTTGTTTTTATACTTCGCTTTTTTTTTTTTTTTTTTTAATAAGAGACAGCGTCTTGCTCTATGACTGTGGAGTACAATGGAGTGATCATAGTTCACTGCAACCTTGCTTCAAGGGATCCTCCTGCTTGGCTTCCCAAAGTACTGGGATTATAGGCATTCACCACTACACCCAGCCTACTTTGCTCTTTTTATCTGTCTTCTTAGGTAGAACCTTAGATCATTCATTTTAATTCTTCTTTTTTATATAAGAATTTACAACTAAAAAAAAAATTTCCTTTTTTTTTTTTTTTTTTAAGACAGAGTCTCACTATGTTGCCCTTGGTAGAGTGCTACAGCGTCACAGCTCACAGCAACCTCAAACTCTTGGGCTTAAGCAATTCTCTTGCCTCAGCCTCCCAAGTAGCTGGGACTATAAGCGCCTGCCATATTGCCTGGCTATTTTTTTTGTTGTATTTGTCATTGTTGATTTTAGCTGGCCCTAGCTGGGTTCAAACCTGCCAGCATCAGTGTATGTGGTCTATGCCCTACCCACTGAGCTATGGGCGCCAAAGCAGTGTTTTAGCTGCATCTCATACATTTTGATATATTTTCACTGAAATATGATCATTAAGTTCAAAATGTTCTCTCAGATCCCTTGTGATTTTTTTCTTTTACTTATAACTATTAAGCAGCATATAACTTAATTCCCATATTTGGAGATTTTTCAAGTATTGATTTATAATTTAATTATGTTGTTGTCTGAGAATATATTCTTTAAGGTTTTTGTCATTTGGTATTTCTGAGACTTGATTTATAGTCATAGTATTGTTTCTCATGATTAATGTTACATGTGCATTTGAAAAGAATGTATATTTTACTATTTAGTATTCCAAAAATATTAATTAGGTAGAACTGATTGGCAGTATTTTTCATATATTCTGTACTCTCACTAAATTTTTTTGAGAGTTAAATTCTTCAGTGATAACTTTAGATTGGTCTGGGTTTTTTCTCCTTTACTCCTGACAGTTTTTGCCTGTCTTCTTCTTTTTTTTTTTGGCAGTTCTTGGCCGGGGCCGGGTTTGAACCTGCCACCTCTCGTATATGGGTCTGGCGCCCTACTTCTTGAGCCAGAGGCGCCACCCTTTGCCTGTCTTCTTGATGAAAGACCCATTATCATTAGGAAATGATAATGCTAATATTTGAGGTTGCCATGAGCTGTGACGCCATGATACTCTACTGAGGGTGACATAGTGAGACTCTGTCTAAAAAAAAAAAATGTTTCTCTCATAAACATGTAGTTGAATCTTGTTTTATTTTTTATTTGCCCATTCTGACAGTCTCTGTTGCTCAGTCAAAGTGTTGAGTCCCTGTACATACAATTATTAAGTTTGATTTTAGATCTACAATTTTTCTGGTGACTTTCACTAGTTTCATCTCTTTTCTTTTTCCTTTCTTCTCATTGCTGCCTTCTTTTGAATTTATCAAGTGTACTCCAGCTTTTCTTTTTAGCTCTTCCATTGCCTTTGTAGCAAATCCATTTGTTTTTATATTGGTTGCTTTAGGGATTATAGTATGTACGCTTATCATGTTATACCTTGAATTTTATGGTATTAAGGGTATAAATACCCTTAAAATACAGCAGTGCGTTGTCCATTTACCTTCTTCCATTTCTTGTTATTGTTGTCATAGATTTTTTTCTTTTACATATGTTACTGACTTTGTATTGTTATTAATTTTGCTATCAGGTATTCAACCTTTTTTATTTCTCTGCTGTCCATTGGAAGATGATGAGTTGTTATGGGCTGCACATTAAATATGCAAACACTAACAAAAGCTGATGAGGAAAAAAAAGGTCCATGCATAGAGTTTGTGATATCTGCCACCACAGAGAAGCAAAGAAGCACTCACATTAGCAAGGGGCTCATGGGCCACAATTGGAAAGCATTGTGTGGATTGCTTCAATTATTTATTGCTTTGTAACAAACTACCCCCAAACCTTGTACCTTAAAACAACACCCTATTTATCCCATCACACAATTTAATGGGTTATTAGTTGTACAGAGCTGGACTCTGTGATTCTTCTCTGCACAGTCTTAACTCTAATCACTACACGGAGTTCAGCAAGTGGCCTTTCTGGAGAGTCCAGCACAGCTTCTTCCTCATGTATGATCTTCTGGAGGAGATGGCTGGAGATGAAGCCCCGTTGGGCTGCTTTCTACCCTATAGACTCAGCACCTCTCCCACTGGTCCCTCTAGCAAGCAAGGCAGACAGACCTCTTCCATGACAGCTCAAGATTCTGTGAGACAAGCATGGAAGCTCTGTCTTCCGAATGTCCCAGAGCTTTCATAGAATCATTTCTCCACATATCTTTTGGTTAAATTAGGCACAGTCCAGCAGAGATTCAGTAGGTGGAGAAATAGACCCTAACTCTTCATTGTAGAAATGATAAATACTTTTTAATCACTTTAATCTGTAACTATTTTTTAACTCAAATTTTAGATCTTTTTTCATCACTAT